TCCTGAGACCCAATTACCAAAGGGAGATGCAAACTGGGCACCTGAAACATGTGTACACAGTAGATACCAGTAGAGGAAAGGAAACTTCAATTTAATTAACTTCATTTTTTATAAAGGTCAGTAAACATGCCTTTTGCTCTGAAAGGAGACATTTTACTTATATTATGGTAAGCAGTCCTGCCCATTGCTACAGAGGGAATCACTATCTCATCTTACACAGATGTTTGTTATTCAAACATCATTCAAAAGAAGGCAGCAAACAAAAAATATTCAGTGGTTGCTTGCAAAATATACAGAAACATGAACAGTGGTTGCTTGCAAAATATACAGAAACATGAAAGATCCATACACAGTAGTCTCCCAATAACGTAAAAGTAAAATTGCTGAAAAGATACCACCTTCAAACTAACTAAATAATGGCAAATTTATCTCTATCTGAACACCCACCAACAGAGTATAGACTTTCTCACGTGTTAATCTAGTTGCATGTCCTTTGAGTGTCCATTTTTCTGATTACTGGTGAGACAAATAAAGTCAAGAAATATTACTGAGCACCTACTATGTACCAGATACTATTTTAAGTTTCTGGGATACAACAGTGAAAAAAGGGAGGAAAGATAAATATTTATATACCTTATATTCTGACAAGGGTAAAACCAATAAACATATTAACTAAGTAAATTATACAGTATGTTTGAGATGATGTAAGTAATGGAAAAGACAGAGCAAGACAATGAGGAGATTAAGATAGTATGTTTATCGACGACATGATCCATTTTGTAAAATGTTTGTTAATATTTTTGCTAAGTACATTGTAGGCTGTATGATTCATTCTTAATGGATATATTTTTATGTATTTCATTTATGATAACCATCAAAATTTATACACTAATCTTTTTTTGCCCAACATTTTATATGATGATTTTTTAAATGAGATTCGTATTTTAATTTAAGCAAATGTGTCAAAATTTGCAACAATGTCTGTGGATTTTGTCCCTTTAAACAAAATTTTCCCCATTCACATGAGAAAACCTATGAACATTCTCTTCCATTTGAAACTAAAATTTATTGTTCTTTCCATATTAAAGTATTAATTTCTTTCAACTAGGAATTTACTTTGTATATGGGGTGTGATGAAGGGATTTGTTTATTATGTGTCTTTAAAAATGGTTAATGCAGCACCATTAATTGAATAAAATTGCCTTTCTCATTAATGGGAAAAGTCACTTGATTATGATTCCAACCTACTACATGCAATTTACTTTCTATGTCACTTTTCTGTTCCACAGTTATATTTCATCTCACTCTTCTAATCTGAACGTCTTTCAGACTACTAGCCAGAGTTTCAAGAGTGATCCTGTTAAAATATGACACAAATCCCATCATACCTCTGCTAAAAGCACTCACATGGCTCCCCATCGCATGCAGTGTAAAAGCCAAATTCCATTCTAGGACCTCAAAGGCTCTAAGCTATCTGCTTCTCCCAGATCCCCATCAGCAACGTGAACTCCCTTTGTGATATCATCTGCTTTGCTTACTCAGCTCCAGCCCTGCTGGTATCCTCAGTGTTTCTTCAACATGCCTTGATGGTAGCGCCTTGGGGCCTCAGCACTCCGTGCCCTCTACCTGGAATGTTCCTTCCCCAAACGGGCACAGAGCCAGTTCTCCAATAGCGTTCAGGTCTTATTCAACATGTTCACAGTGAGGCTCTCCCTGGCCTTCCTATCTCTCCAATTTCGGCCTCCTGCCCGGAATTTCAGTTCCCCATTCTTTGCGTTCTTTTCCCTTTCTTGACACGTGTCACTTTGAAAACGCTTCATATTTACGTCTTGTATCTTGGCTACTCTCTGACACACTGAGATCAAAGCTCCATGAGGCTCAGATAATTTTCTTTCTTTCCTTTGTTCATGCCATATCATCAGTACCTGTGCCTAAGAGGAATGCCTGGCAGATTGCCCACCTGAAGTTAGTTTTGGTGGGGCGGAGATAAAGCAAATAAGTTGACAAGAAAAAGAGAAACGGAGTCGAAGTAAGGCAATGGGGGACTAGGCAGTTTTCCCTCGGTCTGCCCCCAAAGCTCCAAACGCAGGTGCTTCCAGGGAACAATTGGGCATTTTATCACAGTGAAGCAGGCCAGCGGGGGGCACGGCCACTTGAGAGCATTCTGAGTCTAAACTGGTCTGAGCCCTTCCTCAGACCCAGCTGCTTGTGTCTTCTTTGGAATGTGGGCTCTAATCCTCAATTTACTGTTTTTTTTTTCTTTTCAGGTGAGCCAGAAGCAAGAATTTTTGTAATGCAAAATCTCCCAAATGTCTAAATAGCTGTTTAGACATAGAGAACCCAAACACGAAGCTCAAATGAAACATGACAGCTGACTGAAATCGGCACATGGGTGGCCTGCAGGTGTCTGCCAGACCAAATTGTGTGACATATGAAAGAAAAGTAATCCCTGCTGTGGTGAGATGGCCTTGCCTTGTGCCATTCTTGAGGCAAACAGCTTTGGGTCATGCTGGGTGGAGAATGAGTAGGTATTACTACCTTTCAACTCCTGGAGGCTTCCTGCCTCCTCCTCCCACTGCTATGCATAGAGTTGGGGAAACTTGGACAGTGGGGAGTCCTCAGAACTCTTCCTGAGAGGGCAAGGGACAATTTTACTGGAGTGTGGGGTGGGGAACCAGAGAGAAGGTTTTGAGGGGAACTGCCACAGCAGGACTGGGGAAAGGCAAGGAGGAGAAGGACGGAGACCCACACGGTGGGACACCATATGTCTGAGGGACTCTGTCGGGGTTACTGTACGCTCTCCCTATCAGCCACCACCCCCTCTGTGTGACCAGAGTCAAAGGAAATAGGAAATAGTTGTGCAAAGGTACAAGTCCTAGCCCGACTGCCCCATCCCATCTGTCTCTCCTGGAAACAAAGCTGCATATAAGCTCCCGG